TGATATGTTGGTATGTTGGTATGTTGACATGCCAACACAGTACCATAGCACCATATCATATATTTCCTTTTCTGGCAGTCACGTGCTGCATGTGATCCAGCCTTGTCTTGGGCCTTTGTCCCGCAGGGCTGTTCTTTGCCGGTAGACCTTCCTTCTGCTATCCCCCCCTGGGGTCGCACAAAAGGCTGTGTCTAACACATTTTTGGCTGTCTTTGCGCTTACCTTCAGAGACGTAGTTCATTAGGCATAATTATGGAAGTATGCGAGACGTTTCAGTATCGTCTTTGCAGTTTTATCGGCGACTCCGCAAGCTCTTAGTCGGCGCTTGAGACTTTCATGGGGAGCAAGTGTCAGTATCGTATGTTTTGCATCGATTTAGTTCCATTTCCGATGCCAGCGTTTAGTTTCCATCTCGCGAGGTCATTTGGTGAGGAAGGCTTAGCCTTATTACACTTTCAAACTCGGTCATCCCGTTCTACTAGGAAAGCAGTATCGAATCCTTGCTGTATTCTGCCAAGATAAGACATCGAGAGAGCAGCTTGATCACCGGGCGGGTCGCTAGGGCGGATCCTAACCTGTACAAATGAGCAGGTATTCAGGAGGTTGAACGCGCCCGAGATTTGGGCCTGTGAGATTCTGAACTCGGAGGTGATAGAGGGAAATTCCGGTGGCAGCGCCATCTTACCAAGGAGTAAAGCTCTCTGGATCTGAAAAAAGCCATCGCGGCTGACGTAGATATTGGTATCCGATTCTGAAGCAGGTGGGATTGTAGACAAGAAAAGAGGTAAAGGTGAATCTCGCTAAAGAGGTCGGTGCTGCTAAGCCTCACTAGCCCGTTATGCTGTACCCAGTACTAGGGTGCGCACCAAATGTATTTACCACGCTAATTTAAATGACGGCTCTAACAGCCTGACAGGATGATTTTCTAGCTACTGGGTACTTTAGGTGTTGCTTAACTAGCGCCCCTAAAAGCGCTTCCTAAGCTCAACCTATCCTAGACTAACTTAGGGCGAAGTAGGCGCTCACGATCTAACTCCGATAATTCCGGGGCTGATTGCTCCTCACGGCGGATCGAAAATAGATCGTCTTTTGAAGTTAGCTGTCATTTAAACTAGTGTGGTAAATACATTAGATGCAACACCTCGGTATTCAGCCTCGAACGGGTACCTAATTGATACAGATTGATTTAGTGATTCGTCTGCTTTTCTGCTCCAAAACTCGTTGTTGCAATCTAACAGAGACTGATTTAGTTCCGAGTTCAAGAAAGGTTTCAGATCAAGCGCTTACGGACGCTTGAGCAGCCACATAGCCGGCGCATATTGAAACCGAGCTTCTAAGCGCCGGGTCGCATCCTGTGAGTATTTTAGGCTATGTGGCTGAATGACTGCCTCTGGGCGTGACAATAAGTTTCGCGGCTTAAAGAAAGATATCCTCGCAATTCAGCTTTATGTCGAGAGTTATCGAGGGTAACTTCTCTTCCCAAAAGTCATCTGTCTGAATCTGCTCGGTCGGCACTTCCTAAGATGGCTCAATCTTCTCCCGCACCTCAGCCGAAGCCATGGGAGACACTTTCTCCTCACCAGGAAGCCATGATCGAAGCATGCAAGACTGGTCAGCTCCTTGAGCTAAAGAATGTGTTCGACAAACACCATGTCAAGGACGGATCCGAGCCTATTTCTTATTGCCAAGCAAAACAAGAAGGCGCACCCGCGACAGATCTGCTATTTAAGGCAGCCATTTCTCATGGGCAACAGTCAATCGTCCGATGCCTGCACTCTACGTATCCCACATACGACTTTCATAATCCTTGCATCGTCAGGGCGCTGGGGACAACGCGAAACCTTGACATGCTCAAGCTAATCCACTCCTACTGCCCTCGAATTGTCAACTACTCATTCGATGACCATAGGACGTCTATGATGAGCTTAGCCATTGCACAGGGGCCGGAGAATGGACCCTTCATTCACTTTCTTCTAGATCACGGAGCAATATCCATGAACGATGGCGGATACCTCGTCCATGGCGGAGCCGAATTGTGCCCCGCCATCGAATACAATCAACCGATAGATGTCATCAAGAAGATGATCCCGAAGACTCGGTTTCTAATATCCCCGCTGCTTATGGCAATTAATCATAAGCGTGCGGACGCAGTTGAGGTACTCTTACCCGAAGACCATGCCAGGAGGAGACAAGTTGGGATGGAGGATTATTTACAGGAGCCGCTGAAGGCTGCGCAGAAAACAAAAGATAAGGATACCATCGCTGTGGTAGAGCGCTTCATACATAAGGTGGAGCAGCAAGATGCCAAAGAGGCCGCAAAGAAACTACGAGCCTCAAAGAAATGGTGGCAGTTCGGCACGGAAGCGAAGCGCGAAGACAACACAGGAGGCCCGGAGTCCAGCGACTTTAGCCGGCCAGGCGGTATAAGCTGGTGGAGCTCGCTGTCAACGGGTGGACATGAAGTGAAGTCTGCAGATGTCAGTCGGCAGGAGAAGAAGGAGAAGGAGCCCTACGACTCTTCCACGGACGAGGAAACCGAGCCGGAACTCGGAGAAAAGGCATCGGCGCCGCCAAAGAAGCTGGGCTGAAATGGCAAGTCAAAGTTCCCGTCAACATGAGGTTCTCATTATCTGGCAACACTAAGCAACAGCAACACAAGCTATGAGATCGCTCTTTTGGTCGGAAAAGGATAGTTTTTCATTGGCGCTGATTGATTGTTTTGACTGTTAAACTGCTGGAGTTTACTCTGAAGATTCCGAATTTAAATGCACTCTACCCTGTCATACTGCAAAGACTTTCATTACTGGGTATTTCATGGAGGAGCACCATAGCAATACATGGCCATCAATCGTCGATTCATTTCCTTTTTTGAGCCGAACACCTCGTCGTCCTTAATCTCCAGTGTCGACCTCCAAATCCAGCTGTACGTTGTTACTGACCCCATAGTCTTGTAGAGTCAATTGATCCTTGAACGGTCTTTCACCTTGTCGCTTGAGGAGTATCTCGTGGGGTTTTCTAACAATTTTCATGGCGACCATTACCTTGAAGTCCTCTGTCGCGTTGTCAGTCTGCAAGTCTTCTCAATGTTAGGGAGTTATACTCACTGATAGGATCTATGGCGAGGCATGGAATTGGCTGCTTCGTGCCTAGTCTATCGTTGACCCACACGGTGATCATAGGTTGTGCAGGTACCGCCGGTGCAGCAGGCTTCTTCTCTTTCTTCTCACGCTTTTCCTTCTTTTCTTCGCGCGGCTCACGCTCGTCTCGGTCTCGATCTCGTCTTCTCTCGCGATCTCGGTCATGTCTTCGGGGTGAACGTCTTCGCGGAGGGGTTCTGGATATTGATCTCGACCTTGGGTCGGTAGTGGTCCCTGTAGCCTCGTTGGAGTCTCGAGTCTCTGTCTCTTCTTGACGAGTCCTCGTCGTCTCGCCGCTTCTCTTTCCACTTGAAACCATGGTCTTTGCGTCATGGGTGATCTTCATTACGTTGCCGTCGTGGTGACAGGCTACTTCGACCGTCTCTTGAAGATCGAGGTGTTGATGACTCGTTATCCGTCATGATGAGGAGAGTTGTGTTGTATAAAACTTCAGTCTTGGTTCGTGTGTCCGTTGAAAGGACCTTCTCGAAGACTTAATAAAATGTTTGGCTTGCTGGAAAATCCGCAGGCAGCGCGGGGAATATTCGGATAAACTGATCCGAGAAATACGCTAGTGTTTAGGGGAAGCCGCCATCACCCAAGCCGACTTAACTCTTTCTCTTGTCGCCCCTAGACCTGATCGTCTACCTCGACATCGCGGACAAGTTGTTTAATTCCTTTCCGACGAAGACATTTGCCTGCAAGATAGCATTTCTCTCGACTCTCAGGCTGCTGATTCCAAGGAAAGACCAAATACAAAACGCTGCGCCTACTCTAGGTTCTTCATTACCCTTGATTTACCCTTAATTTTGCACTGGCACGGCAGCTATGCTCTTTACAACGAGTAAATCGAAGTATATGTGCCCCTTGGTCGGATTTTAAGGAGTTTATAGCTTCGATGCCGAATAATATCCTAGATCTTATTGAGTTATCTTCTTCCGTTCTAATTGCCGACACTGCTTAACATCTTGTTAGGGATTCCTTGGCAAGTAGGCAGAATCTAACGATAAGCGTATATATAAGTTATCTCTATAGTATATGGTCGATACTGTACACGACTCAAAGCGTAAGAGAGGAAAGAGTGCGCCTCCTATGCGGGGAGTGTGCTAGTGATAGGGATGCACTCCTTGAGTCGCATCTCTTAGCTGGTGGCCTGATTATTCTCCGATGTATCAGGCGTCCGTCCTTCCGATATTTAGCCGAATCCGTAACATTGAAGAGCTAACTTAGAGTTGGAACTTTTTATCCTTTTTCGAGGTAAGTGTTAGAGATCCTACTGGGGCCTAACTGGGTTAGGGTTCCTAGTAACAATC